TGGTTTACCAATTAAACATCATGCGGAAAATTGTATATGAAGATTATCATCTTAATTAAAGAAAAAAAAACTTTATCTTGTCTTTTGCCCTCGTTTATGTTTAATTTTTGTGTTGATATTATTTTCTTTGGTGTTTTGTAAACTTTATTACTTTATATATTCTAAATACATGTTAATTAAACAAGGCACGTCAATTCAATTTAGAAATTTATGACAAAAATTGTACAGATTAACTCGTGATTATAAAATTTTATTGTTACGGATTGGTTTACCAATTAAACATCATGCGGAAAATTGTATATGAAGATTATCATCTTAATTAAAGAAAAAAAAACTTTATCTTGTCTTTTGTCCTCGTTTATGTTTAATTTTTGTGTTGATATTATTTTCTTTGGTGTTTTGTAAACTTTATTACTATATATATTCTAAATACATGTTAATTAAACAAGGCACGTCAATTCAATTTAGAAATTTATGACAAAAATTGTACAGATTAACTCGTGATTATAAAATTTTATTGTTACGGATTGGTTTACCAATTAAACATCATGCGGATAAATTGTATATGAAGAAATCTGTACAGTGAAAAATTATTTAGGCAAGTTCAAGTATAATTTCGTTGAATTGACATTATGGGTTAAAACTTGTTGGCGAATTGATACGTTTTGGCTGTATTTCGATCCGAAAGTTTTCCCCTGTATTCATGTCTACCTATGATTAAAAAAAACATTAAGTTACGGATTGGTTTACTTAAGAAATCATGCAGACAATATAATGTAAATGAGGTTCATACGACCGTGTACAAAATGCTCTTATAGCACCATTACTTGTGATTATAAACAAATTTATGTTACGGATTGGTTTGCCAATTGTTTGTTATGCGGATAAATTTTATATGAAGTCGGGTTACATTTCTCTTTTGTCAAAATAAAATTGAAAACTTTTTGATTATCAATGGGCTCCGGAATTACAGATAAATGTATCTTTAAACTTTATCTTGTGTCACGAGATTCGTGATCTAGAAAAAAAAACATAAGTTTACGGATTGATTTACCAACCTATATACTGTATACAATTAATTGGCATGCGGATCAAACATTTATGAGGCAATTAACCCTTGTAGACTAGAAAATACTGTTTATCCTGTTTCTAGATTAGGTTAAACGACTTTAATGCAATAAAATTTAGAAATATTGGAGTAATTTATGTATCACGCCAATGAGTTTTACCCATAAAAAAATGATACATTCACCTGTGATTAAAAAAGTTATTTTGTTACGGATTGGTTTACCGACTTATACGAATGCGGATACAATGGTTATATGAGGTGAAGCTTATCTTAATTAAAAAAAACAGTATCTTGTCTTTTGCCCTTGTTTGTTTAATTTTTGTGTTGGTATAATTTTCTTGCGTGTTTGGTAAGCGTTATGACTATATATATTCTAAATACTTATTAATTAGACACAAGACACATCGAAGAATATTGTGTCCGTTAATTAAGCTTTTAAGAAATCAATAGTGATTATTATGTCTCAAAACATAAACAAAAAATAAAGTAGAGCGTCTCTTTACAACGCCAATAACAATGTCCTTTGATCTGAATTATCTTTGAATCCCCACCAGGATATAGGTAATTGACCCTGTACTAATTACTATTGCATGAGTATAATACCTGATAATTTAAGAATAACATTTCCGCACTTGCTTTTCGGGAGCTAATGGGTTTATTTTCAATATCCCTTTTGTATTTGATAAAAAATAATGTTATTAATAAGCGTATCTTTTGTTTTATACATGTTTAAATAAATGTTATGTTATTGTTTATCATCATAATAATATAAAGTTCTTCCCAGGCTATTAGGGTTATCCATATGGAAAAATCAATAGAACGCCGTGTTCGTGTTGCGTGTAGCCTATATGGAAGGTAGGTAGGCCGGCTATATAGACGTTATGTATTTGAGTTTTACAACGATATACTATAAACTCTAATCAGATCATAATTCGTAGACGTTCCAACGCGTACGTTTTTAGTTTATAAAATAAAATAATATAAAAAAACTCATAAAACATCGATTAAAGCAAGCGAATTAAAGATCCACATCTATTTATTTTAATTAAATGAGCATATAATTGTTCCTCAGAAAAGTACACGAGATGGCGAGAGGACGCAATTGTTGAGTAAATTATACTTTTTAATCCTCAAACACTCCTCTGCCAAAGTCCGTTATAATATATTAGGGTACGATTTAATGAAAGCAAATTTTTTTTATTGATGACACTATCCGAGAGAGGGCTTTGTGGCGTGCCTCCCAGGAGGGATGATAGAAGAGCTGTCCTCTTTCCTCGTTGCCTTTTTTTAAAATTAAGAAAGAGTATTAATAGTTAACACATTTTCCATTCTACCATAGTTAATATATAAGAATTTCTTCAAAGCGTGGATCGTGTCCTGACAACCAAGTCCAATGTTAGAAAAAATAATTCAAATTTTATTTTAGTTCAAATTTTTATCAAAACTTGTGTTTAGTCACTTGTTGCAAGGCGTCGATGAAATGTTATCTGTTTTCATTTTGAGATGAAAAGGAAAATAGTAATTTTCTTGAACGAATGTAGTACTAAATATTTACAGCTGTTTTGTAAAACAACCGAAGAGGGTGTGCGGAAATTTTCACTATTTTATTAATGTTGTTTCCCCTCCTATAAAATTGCTCGGGTCCGCGCTACTGCGAGGGTTTAACAAAAAAAAATGGGACCAGAGTTTGTATAAGTCCAACAAATGGTATTTATAATTGTATAATGTATTTACCCAAAAATGAGCGTTTTATTAGATTTTTACATGTTTCATGTGCTATACTACTCTCCTAAGCAGAGTATACCACCTAGTAGTATTTTTTTAAAAGTATTCTTTTAAATTGTTGTATAAGTAAAAATAAATAAAATGTGTTTTTTTGTGTAGGAGTGTGCATGTGTGTGCGTGTGTGTGCGAGTGTGTGAGCGTGTGAGCAATGCCGTAGAACCTTGGTTCGGACGTTGTCCTCTATTGACAACGTCAAGGTCATCTGGCCATCTCCCCTATCTCATCGCCCGTGTACGCTTGCACACTTCACTATTAGGTATAGCCCTCACTCTTTTTTTATTATTATAATATATATCATCTTTCCCTTTCACCTATAGAGAGGCTCATTTTTTCTTCCATGTCCCTGCGAACATCGGTTGGGTTTTATATTACTGTGATATAATAATATTGTGTGCGACGCATCGCGTTTTCCACCAACTATTATATCAAACACAGTTTTGCAATATATAATATAATATAAATATTTTATAATGTATAGAGCCGACGTTTTTATCTGCAAAAACCGGTTCTCTGTATACGGATTTGTTGGCGGTTCGTACCGACGTTTTTTTATTTATTTATTCCCTATCTCGTTTTGCTTGAACTGACCTCAACTGTTTGTGCGTGCACCTTTATTTGACCACCGGTCGTTTCCCCCTAAACGATATTCTTATCCGGTCATCCATTGGACCTATACAGCAGATAATTCCGATTCATTTTTTAATACTCTGACCCACCCCAATAGCTGATGATTCCGCATAGATCAGAAAACAAGTGGTCTGGTCAGGTCCATCTGGTGTCGAAAATACCATAGTTACAAGTGTTGTCAATTGTGGTTCTACTTATGTATAGTTTCAACTTTCAGCACAGATATAGATAATAAACAGACGTACACAAAATATATTATATATATATATATATATATATATATATTTGTATCTAAAAGTCCAAATTAGATTGATCTATTATTTAAATTACTGATAGATAAAGAGTAAATTTGTCCAAAATTTAAAAACTTAGTTCTACAGACTATACAGCAGTAGTGCTGTAGCAGGAGGTCACCAAGGGCAAGTGCCCCCTTCCTTGAAATAATAATATTGGTTGTTTGATTTAGATTTGTGTTCCACGCATTACCAGAAACAATTGGACGGATTGGATAACCGTGTTATTATATTATCGCTGGTGTTACTCATTTTAATGCGAGTGTGTATACATGGCGACTCACGATGATATTGTGTGGGATTAATAGTCAAAACACGGTTTATCGATAAGAATAATTTATAAAAAATGTATAATAATCTCATGTGATTAATTATTATCACCGAGCAAGTAATTTACTTGTCAAAACGGGTATGCCGTTGCTTATTCGTGCACTACTTATTAGTTGCCAAATTTCTTCAAGATTATCATTTTAAGTCATTCTTAGTACTTTTTATTAATTAAAATTGTGTAATGCAATTATACAGCTAATAGCAAACGATTAATACACTGCATGTAGTATATTTATAATTGTATACTATTAAAATACATAATTTTTAGCTTTTATATAAACGATGAAAATTGTTGTGTCAAAACAACAGCCGGTAAAATCATAAATATGTCAATATAACAATCGTACGTTAGTACAATATGTGAAACACTTGAATAAATACTAAAATTTTTTCAATAAAGCTTTATAAATTGTTACACATTTAATGGGAATTTTTTTTTGCAAATTTGCACCTCCTTGGTTGATATTATTAACGTATCATATAAAATTAACAGATACCTTTTAACTGTAAATCGTTGATTTTGACAATTTGCTAACACTTATTTTTTTGTAAAACTTTTCTTTTGAGTTATGAGAGTATACGGAATTATTTGTTATGATCCAAAGTGCTTATATTCATCTTGGAAAGGTTCATTTATCACGTTTTTGAATAATCACGCGTGTTTTCCCTTATCTATCCTATCTCCAGCAGTTTTTATTGTGGAGGTATTTTTTGAAAGGCGTGGTGGCAAAAAAAAAAAAAAATGGTAAAATAAAGGGAATGCAAACGAAAAAATATGATCATACAATTTGTATAGGGTATTTTTTAAACTCTAGTGATGATAATGTTTGAATGATTATTTATGATTTTTATTTGTTGAGAAATAAATTTAAATGATGTTGGATTTTTTTTTTCAGATCGCATCTTCAACGAAGAAGTTATGGGGCGTCGAAGAAGGCAAAGAAGATGGACCTAAAGGAATTCTGAACTTGAACGACCACCACCATCAGATGTGGAGGGACTCCACGTGGAGTTCGAATAGTGAGTGTGAGCGACCAAAACAAATCGATTAATTATAGTTATAAATTATTAACCTAGTATTATTATTATTAGGTGTACGTGCAGTGTACAGCGATAACGAAAGGTTTTATCACGTTTTATATTATTGTGTACGCTATTGAACAAAGTAGGCCTTTTTTGTTTTTCACCTTCAGTTTTTCTTTAAAATAAATTCTCTTGAAGTGAAGTTAGGCGTACTTTTGTTTTGGACATTTTGACAGTGTGTCACGTCGCCGTCGTTTCAGTCGTTGTTGGGGTGTCTGGTAGAATATTTGTTAATCTTACAAATGTATTACGTCCGAATAATATAAACAAAATGTATAAAATTGTACGTTTTTGCTAGCGCCTTTGCGAGTGCAAACACTCATTGAGTCGGCTAGTTTTAAAAGAATGTATAAAACGAAAAAAAAAAAACGGTTACTTTATAACTGTACACATTCGGTGTAGTATTTATTTATTACAATATAGTTATAATATTATTATTTTTCGGTGTGGGTTTAGTTACACACGCGGTACACTGGTATAGACCTCTCCAGCAAGTTCAATGGCATCGAGTATTATAGTCGTCATCGTATATTTTATGATACTTTAACCGTCTATAAAAATTATAAAACCAGTCTCTTCCGACTGGTAATTTTCATTTTCACTATTACTACACACTAGCGCGCTTAGCGTCATAGGTTCAATAGCAAAAAAAAAAAAAAAATTAAAAAAACCGGTCTTTCAGCTAGCGAGTCGCTTCTTAGAATTTTCTCATATATATATATATATACATACATACTTATACAAGAAACCAAAAAAGTATTTAAGATGCTCCACAGCCGCCTACGGTTTTTTAAGACTAACCTTTATCTATTAAATATTTTATGTTAAAATCTTATATATACATACAAATTCGACCCTGGAACTTGATCCAAATTCCAAACTAAGTGTTTGTTTATTTTCGCTGAATCAGCATTACTAGGAATAAAAACACGTGTTTTTGGTACCGTGTTTTGTACGTCTGAATACTTTTCTAAAATGTATTTCAAAAAGAATAAAAAATTCAATTTTATTTGCTGATTTCGTAACTTGCTTTAGAATTGATGTAGGAAATTAATGTTGTTTTATTTACAAAAGAAAATTAGAAAATCGATTTTTGTAAATGTTAATAATAAATATTATAATGCTTTTTATTAATTCGTACAGGCCTACCAATTTTTTAGCCTTTTTTGTCCCCTCTTATTGTTTCTCAATTAATAGTTGTTGTTGTGTCTGTTAACCAATTTGTCCCGTTTGAAATACGATTTATGTACACTCTATTTTATAATAAATTAATGTTACATATCGAAAACAAATCGTTTAGTTCGCAGTATATTATGTTACTCTTTGAAAATTATAACTTTTCAGTAAAAGTTTATTCTCTTATGATAATGACCAATTTTTATTTTAAAATTCAAAATAACATAAAATATTAACTTTATACTCGAGTTGATAACATGATGTAAAATGTTTTAATTACAAATAAATGAGAACTGTTTTTCTCTAAAACATAATTTTTATATAGATTTAATTTTCAGAGGTTTTACATTGTTACAGTTGCTGCATACAATGATTTTTGATTTGTTAACTTGCAAAATAACTTTTTTGAATAAAAAATAACCCACAATTAAACAATATTTCATCTTAAAAGTAACACTTGAATAAAACAAATTGTCCATAAAAGTTACTTTTTACTTGCATTACTTTGAACTTGTAAAATTATTAATCCTTAGTTGTCATACTTGAGCAAATTTAATGAACACTATTACCTATTATTTGTTTGTATGTATATATTGACCAGAAATAGGTATTAAGGTCTTATTTGGCTATGAAATTATTAATATTCATCTACTATTGTCATTGGAATACAAAAATATATTAAATATTCTTATGTATTTAAAAAAATTTTTCTCAGTTCCAAATTTCTTAATTTTAAGAAAGCACTTCTAAGTTCTGTTTCTACAAAAAAGGAATCCCCTTGTATAGGGAAGCAATCTTTCTCAACATTTTAGTGGACATTCATAACTAATTTCTTACAGTTCTAGTATAAATGAGATTTTCTGTTTTTTTCCCTAATCCAAAACAGTCAAAATTATGTTTTTATAATAATGAGATTTACTAGTTCTTATGACCGCCTACCATAAAATTATTATATGAAAGTTAAAATTTGTTACCATTTGTTCATCAACCTCCAGTGAGGACGACCTTTTTTATCAGAAGAATTCTTTTATAATTTTATAACTACTAATTTGTATGCATTTTCTTATTTATTTTATTTACTATCATTTTGAAAATATGAAAATTGAATAATAGTTGTTTTTTGATTACCGTGTCAAGCTGGCTGACTAAATTGAATTTAAACATTTTTTTAGCACGGAGAGGAGCTGGATTTCCAGTGGGCACGGACGGTGGAAATATTTTATCGCCAAGATCGTCAGAGGCTGGTATCGGCATGAAGATGGTAGAGTATGTTTTAGCTAGTACGCCAAACAAAATGGAGACGTTAGAGCCAAGAATGAGGAGTTTGGTTATTGTAAGTGAATGCACAAGTGGTACCAAGTAATTTAATTCTATTACTTATGTTTTTGTATCAATTTTCAGAGTGACGGCGAGCCTATTAAGAAAGAAAAAGACAAACCAAGTTCGCCATACGATTCTGTAAATAGCAACAAAAAGGAAATAGAAAATGGAAATTGTTCGGCCGTTGTACAACAAAACGGAATGGTGGTGGTACAGAATGGCCTGGACGAAGATAAATATATAAAGTTAGTTGTTGTTTGCTCTTTGGTCGACAGCTTTCTACATCTAGACTACTACTAAGCCATGTAAAACGTTGATGGGTTAATTATAATGATACTGTTACACAGTTCCATGTAAATTTGGTCGAGTTCAACTTTAAAATGATAATAAGTTGCTCCCAAAATTTTGGTATTCTCGTATCCAACTATTGTCAGTTTGGAAATAAAGAAATAAACCCTGTCATTGAAAAACAAATTATAGGTATAAAGATAAATGAGTATTTTTGGTCTTTGGTCAGTACCTTTGACTTCAACCTTGGATCAACTTCAGTAGAATTATCACAAGTTGTAAATTGCGTTGCAAAGTATTAATTTTTGTTTAAAATCTAAGTTGTTATTGTTTGTTTAATAAAATTGTATCTTTTTCATTCAACTATACATTTTTGGCCATAATTGTATTGCGTTGTAGTGTTGAAGTAAATAACAAGAAGCTTCGGCTTGCTTGGCAAACCTTGGTTTTTAAATATGTATGTCTTTTTTTTGTTTAATTGAAGAAATTACGACTCAAAAATACACATTTCTTTTTATGTGGTTTGCTTAGATCTTTTTTGTTATTATCCATCAATCAAAATATAAAACACTACAAGACTTAAATAATTTTGATGCTGGTATCTCAAACATTCTTACTCGTTTTTAAAAGTAGCAATTGAGCCTATCAAAATTTTTTCTTTCAAACTATTGTGTGGTTTAATTTTAGTACTACTAATTTTGTGAATTAAATAGATTAGGTAGGTCAGGTTATATTTTATGACTGAGCATTAGATATAAATACATTTTTAATTTTGTTTTCTGGGCCCTCCTTTATAGTTTTATTTTGGTGAAGTTTAAAGGAGTAAATTAATGTAAAGACAGAATGAAATGAACATTTTATTGTAAGGTATTAATTTACTGGTTGTTGACGTTAGCTATGTATATTCTGCATTTCCTAGTGTGGGACCTGTCCTGAAAAAAAATCTGTTGTACAATTTCATATATTAATGGTTCAGCACACTGTTAATTTTGTATTTAATATTTAAATTAATGTATTATATTATTTTTTGAGGTAGGTTATGAAAATGAATAGTTTAAAATAAAATGTTATTATTTGTTGAATTTTATTTTTATAATCGACTAAAGAATAAAAACAATTAGTGTATACCATATATTTCTAATTATAATAATATTTGTGTTTCTAAGTATGTTTGATTCTATTTTATTATAAGCGAATTAATTAGAAATTATCAATTTTAAAATTATGATTTCAATTTTCTGTATTTGATACAAGTCTTGATTTCATATTCTAGTAATCAACAATATTTTCAAAATATCGTATTCTGAGAATGCAATTTTTTTAACAATACTTAAAAAATTGTATTATTCAGTTAAGATGCTTTTCATTCATAATGTCAATGTTGTTATATCAAAACATTTTTCCATGATACCTAACCGATTAGGTTTCATTAAAAGCATATTCTTTTAGTATATTGTTAACTTCTATTCTTAGCACATTACCTATTGTGTGTGTTAAGTGCTTGTAGATACATTTTTATTTATTGATTATTTATTTCTTTTTAATTTTTCTTTTTTGTTTGCCCTTATTTGTCAATATTATGGTTAAAGTGAAATCTTCAATATTTTTGTGAATGGAACACACACAAATCTTTCTTATATTATTTAAACAAAGTTATGTTAAAATAATCTGGAAGAGAAAATTTTTGTTTTTGACTTCTTGTAAAAATAATGTGTGTTGGTAACTTTTCATTTTTTGTTTTATTTTGTGAATGAACTTGAGGATATTGTCACATTACATTCTTGTTATTTTATTTTACTATTTCTATTTGTTTTGAAGTTCATTAATAGCTTTATAAAAGTACATAACAAACACAGCTGGATTTTCCACAGTTAATGAATGAATTAATTTTTAAATTCGTACATTATTTTGTGTTTTTTTGTTAAACTATTTTTATAATTTGGGATACTTTGTTTTCTTCGTAAAACTGTTTACTTTTTTTGTTTGATTATTCAATGTCTAATGTCTGGCAACAATTGTTTTAAATTTTGTCTGTTTGTAATGTATTTGTATTGTTATATTTTCTTGTTTTTTCTCTCTAAATTTTAGTATAATGACCTACAAGAGTATTTTTTTCTTTCTTTAGTAACAAGATTTTTTCATAACAAAATATCGTAGCCCATGTAATATATTTAACATTGCAACGTTTGTTTCATCTAAATAAAAGATGTTAGCTCAGAAAACTTGTTTAATTTATGACGTATAAAATGTATTAGGGGCGGCTTTAGTGTATCTACAAAATATTATTAACTTAGGTTTTCAATAAGATAGTGGTATTTCTTAGGAGGCTCAAAATTTTCAGGATGTAAACTATTTCTGAAAGTATATATTTGGATAGTGAAGTAAACCAAAATTTATAATTTTTTTTTTGTTGCAGCCGACAAGCATCGCCTAGCGAAGAAGAAATTAACAAAAATGCAATGAACGCAGTTGCGGGAAATCAAGTGCCAAATGCTGGCGCTAATAATGTCGTCGTAATTGACAGTTTGCACAATCTGCACCATCAGGGACAATTAATGAACCATCATCATCATGGAATGACTATGCCAATGCATCAACAGTTCCAAGTACAGGGCGACCCTCAGCAGATGGACATGAACTCTTATCATGCTGGCAATGCTCAACAACAACAGGGCGCCATCGACTCTCAGGGAAATGTCATGACTCCGTTCGACATACAGGTATGTTTTTATATTATAATTAATATATTTAAAAAAAAAAAAACATTAATAATAAAATATATCTGTAAAAATTAACTCCTTCTCAGCTTCGCATCGAAGCTAGAAATTAAATGCAACCTTGTATTAAGCTTTGGTAATAGGTACAGTTTTAAGGTGAAGAAATAATGCATTCTAAGCTATACATCCAAATTAGAAATCTTTAAAAATAAAAAATAAACTGTTTCAATAAGTTCTCTTTAGGAAATTTAGCTCATAGTTTTCAGTCGTAAATCATCTGTATAATTGTCAAATTAATTACATAGTATAATTTTTAAAATAAGTAATTTACAATAAAATTTAAACGACTTATTCTTAGAAAAAATAAACGATTTTTATTTAATAGGTAAGTTTCAATTAATAATTAAAAACCTTCCCTGGTATTAAAATGAATACCTGCATTTTTGACCATGGGTATCCGTAAAAAATAATCCGTTTTTTTTTAATTACACTGGTTAAAACACAGGTTTCTTATTTACCTAGGGACCTGTGTATATTTTAATATCCGTCTCGGTAACCTCTAATATCAACCGTAAGACATAAATATAATATATTATAAGTATATTTTTCATCTATGTATGAAGTCTTGCCCACTATGTTACTTTTATTTCGTTAAATTACTCATAGATGGAGCCACTGTACTGATTATCGGATAATATATATTTTTTAAGCGTTCCATCCGCTGTGAGTTACAGCAGGACTTTTGTTAATGACTAGAACATTTTTTTATTGTAATAATTGTAAGAATAAAATGAATAATTAAAATTTTTTTTTTGTTGAATATTTATTCCGTCAAGTTAAACATATTCAGCACAATAAAATGAAATGAATGTTCATGACGAACTTTTAATGCTGATTATTATTATGAATTATTCCTTATATTCTTGACGCCCGTAAAATTAAAATATCTGTGTTGTATTATTATTGGTATTAACGATTAACTAAACTTTTTAAAAACAATCATTTTATTTCGTGTTAGCCATAAAGAACCAACAGTGTACTTAGATTTTGGGTCTTAAACTAACTGGCTGAGATCTTTACCATGTTCTCTTTAACTATTACAATAAATAAATAATCATCAAAACAAGTACGTTTTTAGGAAAAAACCCTTCAGCCGAAAGATTGCGCACTTCGAGTATGCATGTTCTACATCCCTATTCAGTATTGTGTAAAATCCTAAAGGAGTTAAACCAGGGCCGACTGGGTTAAACTGCTGCCGATTTTTCCTCGACGATAACCAGAGACGTTTAATTCGGCCGGAAAAACGGGTATTATTTCTTTGGAAATGTTCGACCGTTGGAACGACACAACGCCCAAGACACCGAGGAAGTCTTGGGTTAAATTGAATTTTCGCCAACTGTTATATTTGTCATTGTAATCTGGCGCAAAATCTCGACTACTCGCAAGCGAATGATTTCTTACAAACTTGATTGGCTAGAAAGTTTCTTGTTGGCAAACCCAAGGGGATTTTGGAGTACAATGTGTTTGATAAATTGGCTTGTAAATGTAAAATTCTCTTTAGCAGGTCTGGGAGCTAGTTAGTTTTATGGATTTTTTTTTTATGTTTTGAATTTGAAGCTAGTGTCATGTTAACTATAAGCATATAGTCGTAAGAAGTCGTTTATAATTAATATTCTAGTTTTTTTTTATTAGGGGTGTGAAAAATTCGGATTTTTAAAAACTGATAAATTCTACTATTTACTTCTCTTGAATGTGTTCTAATTATTCTAAGATAAATGATTAATTATAAAAATTGTTTAATCAAATTTATTTAAAAACGATACATTGTTTCAAATTCTTTTTTCTTTTGTTGTATAATTTTTGTATTAAATTTTTTAAATTGGATACTCGATACTTTTCTATGTTGAATTTATAAGCCATACAAAGGATTCAAATAAAGTTAATATTTTTATTATAATTAGGAGGTTGATGTTCTCGTTACAAGTGTCGTTTTTTTTAAAACACGTTTTTTACCGTAAAATATGTATAAGTCAGATCTTATCTATCTGTATTTGATTAATAATTTTCATCTTTTCTTAAAAAAAAAAAAAAATAATATGTATTTTGCTCTCATGTAAAATTGTATAATAAAAACACTTTTAATTATTGGATGATTAACGGTGATGGACTATTTTTAAATAAATTCTCTCATATTTCATTTATTTCAAAACACAAATTTTGTTTTATATGTACCCAGGTCTTTATTAGTGGATTAATGTGAAAAAAAGGCCTTGTCTCCTTGTACTACTCTCTTGTTCAAAAGTTAACTTATCGTTTGTTCGTAAATCATTATTAGTCTTAACCATGGTATTTTTTTTAAAAGCGTCAAAAGTTTTTTATCTGGTTCCCAAAATATTTAGAAGCGGTCGTTCCGAAGTGTTTGTGTAGTAGTCTGTCAGGCGTTGCGTTTTCCTCCGTTTGATTTTTTTATTTTGGTTTGTAGTATATTTTTTCTGCATTCTTTCTTCACTGTTTTGTAATGTTTATAGAATCGTTACATCGTCGACACTCCCACTCAGTGTTTTTTTAACACACACCTCAACTGTTTTTTGTGCCAAGCGTTTGTTAAATTTCACGCCAATTTGGCGTTTTCAACGTGTCTCGCATCAATACGCTTACCGGCTCGCCTAAGTATATTTATGATGCCAAGTGAGTCTGCAAAAGCTACAACAAGGCATACAATATAGTCGCATTGATGTTACATTGTAAATATTTTGTCGTCGAGACCAAATAGTTGATGAAATATACCTCGTTCTATCCGTAATGGCTATAGCGGGTACGGAGAAGGGCGGTTCTGTAGTATAATTATTATGTTTATTTTTTTTCGCCCCAAGATAAAAATAGTCACTCCTCTCTCTCCTTCGCCTGCTCTGCCGGTCTCTTGCGCATAGACTTTTGGGATGGCGCCCAAAGTGGTCTGACAGGGTCCTTGCTCGTTTTCCGGACGCTTTCACATGACATATGACTTGTGCGTCTCTACAGTCTTGTATGTATTATGCTGTTAAAGTGAATTGTGTGTGTGTTTGCTAGACCGACAGGGTGGTCACAGTTCGTCGGCAATGGCGTTAAATGCCACGGCCGTCGTTCCACGTTAATAGGAATAATAAATTATTATCACATATACATACGGAGAGCCGGTGCTGTTGTGTCTTCATGTCCGATTAAAACTTCTACCGAAAGGACGGTAACATACTAATTTTAATGCATTTCCTACATGTTTTCACACACAAATATAAAAGGCATTAGAAAAAAAAAAAACATTGTATTTTAGTATTAAAAATGTCATGGTAAACTTTTTGAATTTGGTCAATTATAGTTTTTGAGAAAAATGTTTAACTGTATAATTAAAAGCTTATATTAGAGTGTTGGCGAATCGAGTTTGTCATATTATATTAAAATTCGATTGCATATTATGTTGTTTCTCATCAGTTGAATCTCACGATTATAACCATATCTTATCGGCAGACTCACTTTCTTATCGTAGTTTATTTCGTAAAAATATACATTGATTTTTTTACACTCAAGGCACAATATGTCCAAAGGACGCGATTTGTTTTGTTCTCAATGTTTTAATAACCCCGAAACCGTAATTGTCTTAAAAAAATAATTAATAATATTTCTAGTTAAAAACTGCGTTTACCAGTTTAATAACTAAAGCGATTGTCAACAAAAAATCGCAGTGAAAATTTGTCCAATGCCGAAGGTATTTCTCAATGCCTGAAATTCCCATGGATAATTCAAATTTAAACGTCGCTTTTATTCCTTCGCAGTAGTCGACAAGACGTAGGTTCGGATTCTCTGGAATTCAACCTCTTTCATTACTCTTTCGGCTGCCGCCTATCCCATTCCCATTTTATTTGGCAATTCTAAGAAAACGAAAATTACAAATACCGCTTTTAAAACGCAAACAACATAAAAGCAACGAAACGATTAATTTGGCTTTAAGTCGCGCATACCCAATCGAGTTCAAACATCATCGTCGGCATAGATTCCAAATGCTAGCAAGACAAATTAGTTAATACGAATTAGTATTATGTTGTACCCGAGAAGTTAAACTTAAGGTCAAGTTAAGTTTCCGGGACATTAACAGTTAAAAAATAACAACCAAAAGATTCAAATTCTGACAATTATACCATACTTTTTATCTACTTAAGTTTTGCATTGATGTGTGATTATTTTTTTTAATCATTTTTAATGGTTTTGAAATTGTGCTCCGACTCAAAAACCTAGTTGAGTTACATCTAATTATAACACAAGACAATATAAATTACATACATCGTTACGATTTTTTCTTAGAAGATAGCCGGTTTTTTATCCAAATGCGCGTCTTATCAATAGTTTTATCACACATGATAATGTCTCCTGTGTTATTTGTCTTTATTTGCGATTGCGTTAGTCATCGGCGACGATAAGGAGAACAATCATAATATTATCTCGCTCGTTGCGTTTCGATTAATTTCATTTAGCGAAATCTTTTCTAAAAGCTATTTGTTCAAAACTTTTTTTTTTTGATTTGTCGTTAAAAAGATTGCCTGTCCGTAGGGTTTCTTATAAATGGGAGGCGCTCTATATTATTATGCAAAGTGGTAAACTTGTTCAATAAGAATGCGTATTTTGTGTCAGTTCGTTTCGTTTTTTTGTGTAATTGTCTTGTCGTCGAACCTTTTTTCCCTTCAGTCGTCTGGAAAGTCTAAATTCACTTGGTATTTTTTTTTCGTTCTTACTTCTTCGTAGCCGACCGGATTACATATGATTTATTTTGCAAATTCGTCTTACAAAAACATCCGTTGCTTGTTCCTCAACAAAACGAACGGTCGTTTTTGTGCGTGATCCGGATTTTTAGAATCTTGAAATTAGAGACACGTTAACATCGACTGACTCGTGTTTCGTTATTGGCGGTGTGGAGTAGAACATAAGTATGTTTATATTAGTTATTTTCTGAAGAGTATGCATTTTATTACGAA